TTCAAAGGTGAAAATGCAAGTGCTACCAGGTTGGCCTCGAAGCTCAGCTGCTTATGCGTGCAATGTTTAAAGGCAAAGGCAGCGTCCATACTTGGTTTCGAATCCAAAGGAGGCTACTGAACGTTTTACGATCTCGGCATACAAACTTCGATCTTCCAAATAACAATTTGAACAAATTCTTGTTTTGTTGAAAATGGAAAAGGGTCTTTTCTTTATTATTGCGACATATTTACATTATCACAAATTATCCCTAATGTGCACTGTTTGTCCTTGGTATGTTTTCTCACAGCAATCCATCACATTCAAATCGGGCAGACAATTAGGAAATTCCAGGCGTTTCAAAGAAATGTAGCCATAAAAGTGAGAAATCCGAAGTAATACGCAATTTAGAAACATATTAGATAAACCACCAATCCTTAATAGTTTCATGCATTTGCGTTGCTTTGAAGAGGGAAATAAAAATTATACATCTGAATCGAAAAAGGTAATAACATGAGTTCACTGGTACTGATTTTTCTTCTCATTCCCTTAACAATTAATGCAACATTGTGAACGAATCGATGAAAGCCACCCTGTGATTCGGCGCAGTTTTACGAGTCTTTGGAAACGGCAGAAGCGGACTACCCAGACAGCAATGCTCAGTCGAGAAGACACGATTTGTCCACCTCCACGAAACGATTACCGTATGCAATATTGAATCATTCAAGCTCAACTGTTTCTTGGCTAATTGAACGTGGGGCGCACGTTGAAGTTACATCAGAGAGCACGCCAGTATCATCAGGTAAACTAATCACATTTTGCAGTTATTTGATGGAAAAAGTTGAATTACTGATGCCTTATATTTTTAAGCGATCTTCACTCAATTAACATACATTTTTACCTTTACATTGGTTATTGGTTTCATTTACTGATAATTAGAAACCCATAAAGTTTGTTGAGTTGTAGCTGCCTTCGCAACAAACCCTCATAAAGCAAATTCTCCGACGTTTCTAGTAGAATCGTTTAAACGAAGGCCTTTAAACATAAAAGAGAGAGAGATGGTAATTCATAGCCCTGAATTACTTGTTACAGATGAAGAATTATTATAGTGTCTTTTATATTCCACAAATCGTTTTCATTAAAAGGTTTTTCTAAAACATTATAACATCTATTATTTCACACTAGTGGCAAAATCATTGTTGTATAGCTGAGAACTTAGAGCTCTTCTCACCTGTCAATATTTTACAAAAGTTGAAACCACTCATTTTATGGGAGCTATCAGCGCAAAAGCACTGAGGACGCAACTGCCATGCTGTTAGAATTGTCCCCAGGATTAGTGCGCATGAAGGAATATGCCGGAGCTGGGTAATTCACTGAGATGTAAACCGCAAAACATTCAAGCCTGAAAGAGGACGCACTTATCCATGTTAGACAGTCATCAGTGAAGCGTACTATGTGTAAAGTTGGTCTGTCTTGCCTTCGTGCAAGCTTTTTCAAACAAGACGTGAAAGGCAAGGCGTTTTGCAACGGTCCAGTGATGTTCAACTTAAATTGAGAAATGAGACGTCACATTGTTACATTTTGATGTCTGCATTATAATAAAAGTCTTATAGTAATTGTTGTATATAACTTCCATTGTACTACCTGTGATACGCTTTTCAGAAATTGCTGCATCAAAGATTCCTTCCACGGTGCGTGATTATCCCCTAGATTCTGCGGTTCGACAGCTGAACTTCCCAACGGTTTCCTCGTCCCCGGCTGCATCTAAATCTCATCCTTGTCACTTTGCGTTGTGTTTGAACACTACTCACCTGGCCTGGCTATGCATTGGGATTCTCACACTTATCATGTTGTTCACACTTGTGATGTTGTTTCTCTACAAGAAACGTCAATTAAATCACGCTCACACAAAACCACGCACCAGTAAAAAGCAAACAACGCATCAACACTTACAGCAGACTCAATCACATAATCCAAACTATGAGCCATGTGCAAAATTGATGTCAAACCGACCTTGTGTGCCAAATTATCCTCTAGGTGAAGTAGCCACTTCGCAGGCACAATCATTTCTTCGTGTACCAGCCTGTTTACTGAGTACCACCCCACGTGGTCAAGAATCATTCACCTTTGAACAACAAAACGCCCGCGAGTCAGGCATAATGTCTCCCGTATTTTTTGCCCAGGATTCTGGTTGTCCAGACGGATCAGATTCTCAGTTATTCTGTTTCCGTGAATCCGCCGGACGACCCACAGCTAGTTCGGCAGCAATCTCGGTTGAAGGTGTTTTTGCCAATACCAATGTGTCATGTAAAACACGAATGGCACAGTCTGAAGCCTACTGCTACTGTGATCAGTTACCTCAAAGTGCAATAGAACGCGGTAATAATACAACACAAACTTTGCCACTTGAACGACGTACGAGCCGGCTGAAACACTTTATCAACTACACCAGAGACAACATGGACGAATTCCATCAAATGAACGAAGATACATTGATCGCCGCTGGTTGGCAACCTCCAATAACCAATACTGACCTGCTTTCCTGTGGCTATAGTTCTTCAGAGGATCGGAAACAACTGTTACAAACGTTTCCACATTCGGCAAGATGCGGTGGACGAGGTGGAGGAGGAGGAGGGGGAGAGTTTTCGGATGAAACAAATGACTCAATTGTCCCACCGTTACCAACTCACTCGAGCGATTTGATTGTTCTAAACAACAGTACCAACTCAGACGAATCAGATGCGAAGCGACCTCCGTACACAGACTGTGTCAAAACTGGTACACAACATGTACATACATGATGGACTAAGGACTAAACCTAGTCATTTTTATATGTCACAAAATATACTTTTTATATGTACACTAGCAGAAATGACTTTTCGCTTACTCATTATCACATATCATTGAGTCACCTATCTGTATCAGCCGAAGAGCATTTCTCTTCAACGTTTATGTGGGATTCTACTGGGATGCGTATAACTTAGGCGTTAAATAACGAAATAATGGAAATTGTTTAACTGGGACTATGGTTTCAGGTTTTCCCATTTTCCTGTGGTGACATTGCATTTGGCAAGTTTAGTAAACATTGCCTCTGTGCACCGAGCTACGCATTAACCATATACTTCGCAAATACACAATAAGTAGATCTTGACTTGAGTACGTTTCTTGCGTACATTTTTATCTTTTTCAATCAGTAGGCACGTGCCTCAATTCAAGTGAGTCCGGGAAGCAGATTTATCTCATTCGGATTGCGTTTACGACGATGGTCTGATGGTCTGATTATTTTCACATTTGCTACTGGGACATAATATTATAGTCGCTTCTTTAGGTGCATATGTTCCCCCTCATTGGGATTGAGACGCAACAAGGGATTCTTGAGTATCAGAGTTTTGGTTTTAGCTTTTGCGGAAACTGTTTGGGTCTAATAACTTTCATGACTCGTCCCCCTTGTTTACCAACGGTTCTAGTGTTCAACTGATTACGTACGAGAACTAATACTCTCTATTGCTAAGCACTTTTGTGATAAAGACAAAAAAACAAAGAAATGAACTCCTTTATCACAGGTAATCATCAAGCATTTATGGTAATCATCAACCAAAGCTGCCATTAAAAACAGATAGAAAATTAGGCACAATAAATGCTTCATCTATTATGTCTCACTACTAAACTGAGCAAATAACAAAAAGCAAATTTTGTTTTAAGTACATGCAGTTATTATAAGTTAAATTGATGCCAAGGGAAAGACCATATCACAGAACTGTACGAGTCATGTCCGAGAAGATTTCGCTGCATCTCAAAATGGTGGATACTGCAGAAGATGGCATGTTTATTTGTGACTTTGGTATGACAAATTAAAATTAAAACACAATATAACAGAGAAACATGCGATAGGGAGAGTAGACTCATGCTATCATCTCGGATGTTCCTTTTCTAAAGTGGAGTTGTAAGTACTCTGTTTGTTCGATAGAACATTTAAGAGTCAGCTGCATAGTGTGTTTGGGTGATTGCCACTTTCACTTCTATGCTTGAGTAAACGACATACGCCATTACTTTCGAGGTAAAAACTCAACGTGACTCACAGTAATGGATATGATTTAATCGCTTTTTTTTCATGATTGTGAGTCGATATGCTTACCAATTACAAACTTTTCATGGAAACCCTCTTCTATATTATCTGCGGTAGATTTCCAAGTTCATGCTTCCCTCTGTCTTCCGCCTTGTTCTGTCAAATAACTTCCGAACAAGATCACCCGTTCTCGACCATCAAGTCGTTGAGGTGTAAAAGCAGATCTCATTTCGATAAAAATATCATGAATTAGCTACTTCATCCGTTCTAGTCATAGTAATATCAACGAAGGTCTGTGTGTTGCTGGCTTCTATTTAAATTGTAAACCAGACTTTTGGATGCAGTCCACTATGTTCATTCATAAATATCTTAGATTGTTAGATGTCACGTAGAATCTCTTGAGAAGATTCTGTGATGTGCACTGCACACTGGAAATCTGTCCTAACGATCGAGTGATGCGCAAATCTCGAAGTCAACGGCAGACGAGATTGCCTTGAAATGCGGTACTATTATAGACAACGAATGGTTAAACGAAAATAAGTGCAAACCTCGAATCGTGAGTCTACTCGGAGGGTGCGTGTTCGCACTGTCAAGGCACATTCAAATGATAGTGCGTCTTCATTAAAATAGTTGTGATTTACAGTTAGAATACACCAAACTGAGCCTTCACAAGCTGTCGAAGCGTTCAACTCAACGACTGTGGGAGCGTGCACTTCAGTCAAAGTCAACGGTCAGAACGTCTTAGGTGGCAAGCACAAGTGCGCGAAGGTTCAGTGTCTGACAGCCAGCCAATAAAATGAACGGGAACAATTAACTTGTGTGGACATGCATGCGTGTTTGTGTGTGCGTTTCTGTCGATCGGTAGATGCCGACTGGGTCACGCATCAGGCGTGGAATGGTGGGGTAAACAACTAAGGACGAAGGCGATATGGGTCACTGGCCAAAGAACACAGACGGATAGATCAATAGACACACTGGGTCAAAGCGGGGGTAGCAGGTCCACTACGAAAAGGGAACAAATGACACGAATCAAGAGATAACGAAGGACGACTGGGGTAAGATACATGTGATTTTGGGTATGATTAGGGAGTCTCTTTGGAGAGCGTAACGGCATCAACATGTCTGTAATCTGTTATGTGTTATATTCTGTCCCAGATGTCACGCTTCGCAATGCTATCTGCCATTTTTTCGATGGTTACCATGATCAGGCCTACCAGGAATGGGCATGGTGGACAACGTCTATTTCTCGGTATGCACTTTATGGAAAAGAGAACGACGTTCGCTGTGTACAGCAGTAGGATACTCTTGAGAATGGAATTAGACGGGCTCAATCGAGTCCTGCCCTTCTGGATTTCGATGCAAATTATGTATATGATCTCATGGATGTTAGTTGAGTAAATTTTATCCACCAACATGACTGCGACCGACTCCACTTGAACCGGTAATCTCAATATTGTATTTAGTCTTCTGCTTGCACACGTGCGGACATACCCTGAGACGCGCGCTCCATAACTCAATTTTCCATCAATGCCCGTCCACTTTGTTCCCTCAGCGTACGATAAGCATACCGAGTTAATACCATGCAACGAGTGCCCCTTAACATTTTCATGAGAGCAAGAAGAAGCATCATGTGTTGAATTCAACTATTTCGCGGTAATCTCATCAGCTGTGTACATATGTTCGGATCAAGTTTGGTTAAAAGAGTGGCATGTTTGGAGACAGGCGAACACACGAGGAAGATAAATCACTCAATACGAAGGCCAAAAGTCACTAATATGAACGGGATTGGGCATAGGGGCAGG